ACTAACTGGCCTTTTTAAAGGAGTTTAAAATAGGCTTCACGGAAAAAGGGCGAGCACTAACCGAGCAACCATCATCACCCATCGCCGGTCTTTTTCCTTGAACGCCTCTACGAAGCAGAATATAACGTTTGAAACAATCATTACGAGAATTCCACAAATCATTGGTTGGCGTACTGCAATATACTTCATCAATCGCTTTGAGCACTTATTTTCGATTCTTACCAGATTTCGAGCGATTCATCCAAAATCCGAAAATAGGCGACGCTAATCCTTGACCTACGGAAAAGGCAGCTGTGATAACTCCAAAGAAAGTCTCGGAAGCTGTTGGATCCACCTAAAAGATTTTTGTCAAGAAAGTTGCGATTATTTAGGAGCGCTCTTCTTTGTCTAAAGATCATCCATATTTTAAGGAACGATATTTTGTTTAGACATACGGTGTTGGAGTTCTCCTTTGACTAGTTCTCAAAGCACGAATAAATATAAGTGATATAAATACTGATATTAGGCAAATTCTTTTTATAGGAAGAAAACAATGTATGGTTTTTACATCTGTGAGCTCAATGAAATTCAGGTACGCTTTCTTATAATATGCAAATCGCTCCGAATTTGGGTTTATTCATCAATAATCACGGAGGAGAAGTAATGTGAGAACTTTACCTTGTTCAGAAAGGGCCACAGCGTTGGAAAGAATATTGAAAACTGCACACCACAGAACATGCAGATTGCTGTTAGCAGGTAAATTGATTTCCATGGAGTTTCAACTTCGTCTCTGAAAAATGAGGCAGCATAGCTTAACTGATGCTTTCCAGTGTTGATGACTATCTTGGTGGATGTTAAACGAAATGTTTGGTATTCCACACATTGTAATATACATCTCGTTACACTTGTAGTCTTTATTTGAGACTTATGATTTCTAGAATTTGAAAATATTACCAATTTTACAGCAACAAGCCATTTTCTCTTAGTTTACTCTTTCGTCTGACTTTAGAAAAGATCGATAGTTCAAATGTTTGCGCGATCTCTAACGGGAAGCGATTTTATAGAAGTTTGAAAGAGTAAACTAAGAGAAAATAGCTTGTTGCTGTAATTGGTAATATTTTCAAAATCTAAAAATAATAAGTCTCAAATAAAGATTACAAGTGTAACGAGATAGATTTTACAATGTTTGGAATAACGAACATTCCAACACAGATTTGATTATAAAAAAGTGCATTTACAACCAGATATATATTGTACAACTTAAACTCACAGATTCTTCTTTCCCGTAATAGAGCCAGTAACCGATTTTATTGTCGATCTTCGAGACATTGAAGAACGCGCTGACTTCTCACCTGTGCGAAGTGGTATAGCAGTAATCCAGGCACTAAAAATTATACGAGTACTTATGAAAAGGATGAATGTTTGCTTCACTTTGATTTTGCATCAAGAAGTTATATAAAAGGTGTATTTGAAAACATTTTAGCACCTGCGACGAATGTGAATTGCGAACACCGATGTCTCTGTAAAAGGTAGCTAAAATTTAGCAGAATATTTCTTCATAAAGTGAAAACACCATAATAGGTATATGCGCTTCAAATCAGATTCCTCAAAAAAGCACAAAATTTGTAATTTGTACGCTTTGAAACAGCTACTGCAAATAAAAT